ATCCATCACGACCCCCATGACACCTCAAGACCCTCAAGACCCACCATGACCCCCCACAATCCCCATGACCCCTCAAGACCCACGAAGACCCCTAAGACCCCCAAGACCCCCCATGACCCTCAAAGATCCACCACGACCCCTCAAGATCCATCACGACCCCCATGACACCTCAAGACCCACCATGACCCCCTGCAATCCCCGTGACCCCTCAAGACCCACAAAGACCCCCAAGACCCACCACGATGCCTCAAGACCCCCCATGACCCCCCGAGACCCTCAAAGACCCACCACGACCCCTCAAGACCCCCAGTAAGAGTGGACGTAGGCGTCCGGGTGGGGTCGTACCTGGAGAGGTCGAGGCTGTGAGGGACCCTGGCCAGGTCGTTGACCAAGCCCTTCTTGAGGAAGAGGCGGATGATGTTGTTCATGCCGTTGTGTTGGGTCTTGGCGGCGCTGCTGTAGAAGCTGGAGGTGGAGGGGCAGGACTCCATGATGGTGCTGATGATGCACATGACGGCTTGGAGCCTGCAGTGGGGGACGAGGGAGATGCGTCACACGCCGTTGCGATGTGTCACACCCCCACGGAGGTCCTATCACCCTCGTGGGAGAGACGTCAACCCCACGGAGGAGATGTCAAGCCCTGTGGAGGACGGGACGGCCCCACCAAGGATGCGCCAACCCCATGGAGGACCTGTCAACTCTGTGGAGGACCTGTCACCCCATGGAAGACATGTCACCCCTATGAGGAACGTACCAACCCTGTGGAGGATGTCTCAACCCCTGTGGAGGATGTGTCACCCCCCCGAGGGACACCTTCTTCCCGTGGAGGACGTCTCAACCCCCTGAGGGACACCTCAACCCCGTGGAGCACATCTCCTCCACGTGGAGCACACCTCAACTCCACGAGGGATGTCTCAACCCCACGAGGGCCACCTCACCCCCATGGAGGACACCTCAACCCCATGAGGGACGTCTCGACCCCCCAAGGGACACCTCACACCCATGGAGGACACCTCAACCCCACAAGGGCTGTTTCACCCCCGTGGAGGACATCTCAACTCCACAAGAGACATCTCACCCCCAAGGAGAACATCTCAACCCCAGGAGGGACACCTCGACCCCATGGAGGACATCTCGTCCCCGCAGAGGGCACCTCAACCCCACAAGGGCCGTTTCACCCCCGTGGAGGACATCTCGCCCCCAAGGAGAACATCTCAACCCCAGGAGGGACATCTCCTCCCCGTGGAGGACACGCCAACCCCATAACCGTGTAACCACAAGGGCGCTGGTGGCCGGGGTGGCCCTGCGCTGACACCGCGGTGTCCCCGCGTCCCCCACCTGGCGTGCTTCTCGGTGCTCTCGGCCATGGCCAGCGCCCGTCCCAGGGCTGCCTTCACCTCGTTGACCAGGGCCACCTGGGCGTCGGTGCCGCTGCCGGCCGCTGCCAGACTGGCCAGGAAGAGGCGGGCCAGCGCCGGCGTGTCCTTGTCCTCGGCGTTCTGCGTGTGGGGCAGGAGGTGGTCCAGGACGAAGGCCAGCACGCTGCAGTCCTGCGGGGAAGGAAGGGGGGTCAGACACCCCAAAATCACCCCGTCCCCGAGGTGTGGGGGGAGCCGGGGGACACCGGGAGTTGGGTGACAAAGGGGGACGCGGCGCGGGGTGACAAGGCGGGGTGACAGGACGCCTCGATGCACGTGGTGATGGGGGTCTGGGGGTACAGGGGAACCTTCTATGTGGGGTGACAGGGGACCCCAGCGCGTGGGGTGACGGGACACCTCGATGCACACGGTGACAGGGACCCTGCTGTGTAGGGTGACGGGACCCCAGAGTGTGGGGTGACGGGGACCCAGGTGTCTGGGGGTACAGGGCAACCTCCTATATGGGGTGACAGGGGACCCCGCCACGCAGGGTGACAGAACACCCTGACACAGGCGGTGACGGGGACTCAGGCGGTGATGGGGACTCAGGTGCCTGGTGGCACAGGAAAACCCACCACGCCGAGCGACAAGACACCCACCACACAGTGTGACGCCACCACCCCGCCGCGCAACAACGTGACAGCAACGCCCCGCCGCCAAGCCACCCCGAGGGCGGGTGTACGGATGCGCGCGCTGCTGCGGGGCGACGCCTCAGGGCCAAGTCCCGTTCCCTAACACCGCGTCCCGGCTGTATCGTCACCTCCTTGATGAGCTCCGACTGTCCCACGGTGTAGCTGTAGTTGGCGATGAGGGTGGCGATACCCACGTAGGAGCGCACCAGCTCGGCCAACAGCCGCAGGATGGTGGAGGTGGGCATGAGGGGCTTGGAGCCCTTGGCTCGTTGCCGCTCCTCCCCGCGCTCCCCGTCCTTCTCCTTCCGCCCTTCCCGGCCCTCCTCGGGGCTGGCCGCTGCGGAGGGGGACACGTTGGGGACATCGGGGGGGACGTTAACGGGCTCGGGGACGTGGAGGGGACGTTTGGGGGGTGTTGAGGGACGCGGAGGGGAGGGTAAAGGTCTTAGGGAGACAGAAAGGGGGGTGAGGGGCTCAGGGATGTGGAGGGGACGTTGGGGGGCTCGGGGGCATGGAGGGGACACTGGG